ATAATCTTTTAGAAGTTCAGGAAATAAAGTTTTGTTCAATATCACCTGATATAGAATTTTTATTAACTTTCATTTTGGTATAGCAATTAATTAAAAGAAGATTATCTATCCAATTATCAAATTAATATTTAAAAAAGATATAAAAAAAATTAATATCAAATTATTAAGCAAATCTTATCTTTATTAATTAATTGATTTATTTAGAAAATAAAAATAAAAATTTGCAAACAAAAGTTAAAGAGCTAAAAAAAAAACAAATGCTAAATTAGAAAACAAAATTAATTATTTAAAAAATTAAATAAAGTTTTTAAAATATATAATTGAAATATATGCAATTCAAGAGCAAAAATTTTAGAAAAAAAATTGAATCTTTAAAAAAATTATTTTAAAATCTGAAATCTATTGTTATAATATCTTTAAAATCTGGATTATTTGTGAAATCTGTATCACCTGAGATATTTATGAAACTAATAGAACTTTTAGTGACTGATTATAAAAATTCTGATATTAAAGATTATAAAAATGCCAAAGATTATAAAAGTATTAAAGATTAGTTAAATTTATAAAAATAAAGGTTTTGATTAGTTAGAAATAAAAAAAATAAAGACAAAACAGTTTATAAATCAAATCAAGAAAAGCAAAAATGAAATAAAAATTTTTGTGAATATATTTTTTTAAAAATATAAACTAAAAGTAGATAAATTTTTTTAAGATCTGAAAATAAAAAAATATTAATAGGCTAATACTTAAACTATTGAGATTAATAAATTCATGTTATAATCTTTTACAAAGACAACTATAATATATAATTGATTAAGCACCTTATATTGTTACTAAAGAAAAAGATATAAAAAATTATAAACAAAAAAATTAGAGGCAGATGATAGGTATTTGTATGCAAATAGTTAGTTAAATGAGATAAAAACAATAGATATATATATATTGTATATTACTTTATATATATTAATTTTTAATGAATAATAAAGAAAAAGATATAAAAAATTAGCATACAATTATTTATTAGTAAAAAATTTAAAGAAATTATAAAATATTAAAACAAATTGCTTAATGTTTTTAAAAAAATAAAGGTTTATTTATTTGAAAAATGAAACAAATTCAGAAAACCTTAAAAGAAAAATAGTTATTATATACTGTATATAATTATAGTTAATATTCTTATAAAATATTTAAATATTAATATTTATATACTGAATATTTATATGTAAATTATTTATTTTTATTTTTTTTTTTTATAGTAGAATGACATTAGATGCAAGGATTTTATTGAATAATTATCAATTACACATACATCAAACATCATCTATTGCTATTACAACAGCTTAATGCTAGCCTATCTACTTGTTACCCCAGCGATACTAGTAACACTCATGAAGTGGGTTCATATTTTTTGGGGGGGACCTAACTAGGGGGTGGAAGTCCTACCGCTAGTTTAAACCACCTAACCTACCGGTCCAATTTGTGAGGGCTGTCAATATTGCTAACTATTTCCTAAGGTTGCCTATCACATCACACCTTTTCGCTCACGCAGCTAATGTGGCAGAGGGGTCTAACGTTGGTATGCACTCCCTAGTGAATGCTCCGGTTTTGATCCGCTGGTTGGCGCTTGCTGCCAAATCTAGGGGCTCTTGTGGCCAAGTGGGGCGTGACTCCTAAATCTCCTAGTAGACACTCCAGTTTGGAACCAGTTGACGTAGGCTGCCAAATCTAGGGGCATAAATGCCAAGCAGGGTGCAACTCCTACATACACGGTCAGCCGTTAGGTGGTCCATGTCACACAAGACGGTAGTGTCGGTACGGTGCTTTCTTCAAAGCTTTCCTTATTCGCTAGTCAGCAAGGAAGGGGGAGAGGAAGTGGTGGATTGGGATTGGTTAAGATGGAGCACAGCCCAGTCTATGCATCCAAATAGATGGTTGTGGTTGATAGCTGATAGGGATTGGATAAGATGGAGTACAGCCCTGTCTGTATATCCAAATGTATGGTGACATCTTTCATTAGATGATCATCGTGACACCATCCGGACGATCGTCACACCACTACACCTTAACGGAAAGATCACAATCCCAACGCTTGCTGGATCAGCATGTGAAACGGCTTCTTATGGGAAACGGCACATAAATGGTCATGGTGCCAGATACCATGTTAATCTATTCAATCGCCTTCACATAGGATTGAACTGGTATCTTGTGATCTGACCTGCGAAGCACTAACCACTGTGCTATGGACCCACAGGTCTTATGTAAATTATTTATTTATTATATAGTTAATTAACTTGTTAAGAAAGATTTTAAATGAATATTTAAAGTTAATTTATATACTGAATATTTATATGTAAATTATTTATTTATTATATAGTTAATTAACTTGTTAAAAAAGATTTTAAATGAATATTTAAAGTTAATTTAATATACAAAAATAATTTATAAAGAAATTATAAAACTGTAACTTATTATAATATAATTCCACTTAAAAATTTATTGAATTGAATTTATTATTTAGAAGAAAAAGCTAAAGAATTGATAAAAAAATATAAAAAATGAAAGGTTGTTAAAGAATTATCAATATATTCAAAGAAATATCAAACTGAAGAAAGTGTAATAATAAATAAGATTAAGAAAGTAATTATTAAAGTGAAATCAATAAAAGATATAAAAATTATTAAGAAAAAAAAATTGAAAAAAAGAAAAAAAAAGGATACAAAATAACAAATTTTAAAGATCTTCTTAAATAAAATCAATTAAGAAAAAAGAAAAAAGTAGAAAAAAAGAAAAAAACAAAAGATAATAAAGATAATTTAATTTATATAAGTAATTTTTTGTTATATTTAAATTATTTTAATTTATTATTATATTTTAATAAATTTTTTGTTAATTATAATTACAAATAATTATCAAATTTTATTATTTTTATTTGATGAAATTAAATGCTAAAATATACTATTTATATAAAAATTTGTTAAATTTTTAAACTTAAAATACTGTATATTAAATTATAGCTAAATTATATATCAAATAATTATATTTTAGTTATTAATTTATTGTTGAATACTATTATATTATAGTTGAACTATTTGTAAATGTTTATTGAATAATTATATTAATTTTATATCAAGTGATATCAAATGATATAAATTTAGTTTGAATTTAATTATAAAAAATTTATATAATTCAACAATAATTTAACATACTGAATAATCAAATTTTAACTAATGAAATATATATCAAATATAATAAGTATAATAAAAAAATATAAAATAAATATATATATATATAAAATTATAATGACTAAAAATAAAAGATAATTAAAATAGATACTGTATAATTATTAATTAATAAATTTTGCTTTATGATTTGATTTTAGTATAATATAATTAACAGAATTGTTACATATAAAATAACTATAAGATACAAAATTGACAGATTAATTTGTATTAATGTTATAAACTCTGATCAAATTCATATGGCTTTTTCGAAAAGAAACCATTTTAATTATTATATAGCATGAAACAAATTAAAATAACTGAATCACTATAATTTTACCATAACAATATAATTAAAAATAAGTTTTTTTTTTTTAATAATAAAACAATAGTAATTAAATTTTAATGTTTAAAATTTAATATCTAACTTTATAATAACTTATGCTTTGTATATAACTTTTAAACTAAAAAAAATATTACAAAAAGAAAAAAAAAATATTAGATATAATTTAAATATAAAATAAAATAAATAGTATAATTAGTATAGAGTTTGGAACTAAAGTTATTTTTTAAACAGAATTAAAAAAAAGCATATTGAATTTTAATTTTAAAGTTTTTATTGTTTGTAATATTAAACTCATAGTGTAAAAAAAAAAACATATATTAGTTTTTAAAGATAAAATATAAGAAAAATTATAATTATTAAATTTGATAAATAAATGTTTTTTGTCAATTGAATATTAATTATAATTAGAAAAAAATTGGTTATTAAAACTTGATGTTCTATCTATAATTAATAAATATATACAGTATATGTAGAGGCAGAAGTTTTAGCTTCAAATACAAAAGAATGTTTAAGATCAAAATCCAAAGGAATTGAAAATTGTGAAGCTATTTACGTTATTGTTAAAATCATGTTCTTTATTAAAATTGTTAATACTTACCTTATTGGAGATATAATAAAACTTGTGTGGTATTACAGTGTAGCTTTTATAAAGCAATGATTATTCGTGAAAATGGAAAAAGGATAAACTAAAAATGATTATTTGATTATTACTAAATATATTAATTTTTATTGTATATCTGAATTTAATTTAAACGGGGGATTAAAAATCCGAAGTCTAAAATTAAAGTCCGTGTTATGGTATTAGCTATTTAGAGTTTAGACTTCAATAAAAAATATAGCAGAAAGAAGGGTATAATGCGCTTGTGTTAATTTGCATACCGCATTTAGGATAGTTTTCTTGTTTTTCAAAAATCGTCTTGACTGTAGCCTATCGTTACACGAGAATTGATGATCGACTCGCCGACAATAGTAATACTTTCTGGAGGACTGTATATAATAACATATAACATACTGTATATTAAACATCAGTGTTTAAATAATATATGGTAAAAAATATAACAACATTAATATACAAACATCGAATTCCAAGTTACGACGTGCTGTACCACTCCTTATGTTATCAATTTATTCTTTTTTTTTTTTTTTTTTTTTTTTTTTTTTTTTAGCGTTAATTTGAGTATTTGCATGGTTAATGCGTTAAAATCATATGCTTTGGTTTTGAAAGATTTTCTCCAAAGATGGGTTCAAACAAATAACAATAATAATAATAATTGACACAACCAAAAGCATTTTCAATAATCGTGTTTGAACATATTCGGTTTTGTACGGTTAAATATATTTTCACTTTATGTATAATTGGGAATATTTGATAATTCATAACTTATAAATATAATGCGTTACAATGGTGAATATTGAGAACAATGCTCTGCTATTGATTATTTTTTCATTTCCGATATTCCAATCAGGACTGTAATAAAACTAGCGGAAATACACCACGAAAAAATTAAGATGAGTTCATAAATTGTTATGTTCACACCAGTTCCGAAATTATGGTTTTTCTGTGCCTTATGAACGTAAAATGCGTATAACGGAAATGCGAAAAAGTATGAACCAAAGAATATGATTGACCTAAATAAAATAGAAATGGGAATATTTTTTGAGAAATTAACTATCAAAGCTCAATAAAATAAAAAAGGAAGGAAGGAAGGAAAGAAATACATACGACACGTTCGAATTATTCCCAACCACGTTAGATATGTTTCCGATGAGATGTACTGTGGAGGCAAGAATTAGTAATGATCCTTTATATGGATTATCACCAGAGGAGCCTCCTAGGAGTGGAGCACTTTCACCAATTTCAGCTTGCGTGGGTTTATGTTTTGCTTGTTTCACAGAAATGTAGAAGAGGATTGGAAGGGAGTAGTCAAATATTAATCCTATTAATGAGGTAAATATTCAAAAATACTTAGTTCAATGTTCAAGAATATAACATAGTACAGCACAAGACATATATGAACTTTCCTTGGAACTTAAAGAACATATCATCCCAATACCAGTCTAATTGACTAGTAATAGCAGAAGCAGTCGCTGAATATATTACTATGGTGATGAGGCCAGAAACGTAACTGAAATTTGATTTGTGTAGTAAGTTTGCCACAATGCAAACTTCCATGATATTATGAAAGATTCCAATGATAGACCATAATTTTCCAACACTAATGATTGCCCCAGCAATAACAGCTAGAAATGTGACAGAAACATAAACAGAAATGAGAGTGTTGAACAGGTACTTCGTCCAGATGTTATCATCGGTTGGTGGGTTGGGATTGAACGTTCCGTTTGAGAGTTTGATAAATATGCATGCCAGAGTTGCGATTCCTCCAATGATAGCTGCAATTATTTCTGCCAAATTTGCAGCTGCAGTTTTAGTTATAGAGTCATCGGGACTGGCTTCCCATATTGGTAAATTTGTGAGGCCTGAGAGCTCTTGTTTAGGTGGTGGCGGAAATGGACGTACACGGTTAAAAAGAATAACTGCTACGATCAACTGAATCGTAATGATAAATGGTCCCAAGAACCTTGCGATTTTTCTCAAGTCGAATGCCATCGTGAAAAGAATTTGCAGAATGAAAAAAAAAAAAAACAAAAAAACAAAAAAAAAAATAGAAATGATCTTTAAATTTATAAACAACCAACTTGGCTTTTCTGTGTGACCCCGAGGACTGGTTAGACGTTGAAAACGGAATTCAAAGAAAAATTTCACAACATTTTACAATGAGAAAATTTATTTAAAAGGTATTATTTATTGTTAAATATTTAATATGTGCGTAACGCGTAACATCTATTGTGGCTTCCAAATTAGTTTAGATTTCAATCATTATGAGTATACAAACTTAGTAAAGTTTTTTGGTGTGAAAGAAAACATCCTTTGTACATTGTAATCAAATCAATTTGTGGCATTGTCTAATCGGAGAGACTTTTCCGCACATACAATCAAGGAAGTTTATCTCAATAGTACAAACATTCAAGAAATACGCATCATGTATCTAATATATTTCGATTTTTGATGTATTGAAAACTTTCTCCAACTTCTCCTCTTCTACCCGCATTAGCCGGTTAATTCTTTTAAAGAATCGAAAGCAGAAAAGTATTAATCTTGAAAAATTAATGAAACTATTTAACTATGCCATGTTATTTTAACATGTTGTGTATATTGTATAACCATGTTGTTATTCGCTTCATTCGTATAACAAATAAAGAATTATACCTTGTATAATCCTGTTGTTATCACTTCATTCGTATAACAAATAAAGAATTCTACCTTGTTACAATTTTCAATTAAAAATACACAACACACCATACTCCATAATAGCATAGGCACAATAAAGTTTTGAAATAGGCTCATATGAATAATGCATTGCAAATCATGTAAATCGCATAATTCACGTCTTTAATGTATTATTAACAGATAATGTGAAAAGTATACGCCGATTATATTTTAATTAAATCAAAATCAAGTTAACCTTTTTTATAATCGAGTTTTAATTAACCAATACTGATCAAATACTTTTTTAAAACGATCAATGAAATAATTTGATTTTTCTTTTTTTCGATTTTTCGATTTTTTTATCCAGTACCAATGATTAACTCGCAAAACAAATATGCCGTACATTTGTGCTTATTAAAAAATTGGTAATCAATAAATAATAAAATAGTATCTTGGTTTAATACGAATAAATCTTATACAGTATTTAATCATTATTTTTTTTGTTATTAAAAATAATAATTTATATGTACTGTATACGATGTATTTTATAAGTAAAAAATTTATTTATTTATTATTATTATAGAATAATATTTTTTTAATAATATTAATTAAATCAGTAAAAATTTAAAATCTTGGGTTTCTTTTAATTAATAAAAATATGAAATTTTGGATTTCTTTTAATTAATAAACCATCTTATTAAAAAAAGATATGGATGGTTATTTACTTTTATTAGTACGGCAGGTAATGGTGATATGCTTTCCGGTTTGGGGTTAAACATGAAATTGCATAAAGCAATAGATCTGCTTACTGTATGACCATTTCCTACCTATTAAAAAATAGTAGAATATTTATTTTGTTTTACCTTAAAACCAAATGTGATTCGTTATACTGTACAGTATATCCTTACTTTTGAGCTTTAGATGAAGCGTTAATCATTAAAGTAGGAGTGAAAAAAGAGATTAAGAAAACGGTAATTTTTAAGCATTTTTTTTTTATATATTAAACTCACGATTACCTTTTAGAGCTTGGATTCCATTATTTGTTCGTTTCTCCCTTTTTCATCATTTCCCTCTTCATCAATCGCATTACGAATAATTCCGTCACTCACACTGCTTTTCTTTTCACATGCTTTTTTCGACTGTTGACGACATATAAAGTAAAGAATTTCTTTTGCTACCGGTTTGTTTCCAAAAGTGAGTAAGATTGTGGAGAGAATGTATAGAAAATTACTCTCGATAAATAATTAACATACCGGTTTCTTTAGGCTTTTCCATTACCACCTATAATATGTATGTGCGTAAATAAAAGATACATAATAGTGTCAAAGACAAAAATTCAATCAAAGATTATCTTACCAAATGTCCTGTGTCAATGATTATCAAATCACCATGTTTACATCTAGACGCCTTAAACAACGCCAAGTCCAGCGGACTTTGTGCAATAAATTTAAATAATTTTTTAGATAATTTTGGCATCAAACTCAGTACATATACATGTATACACATTATATATTATATTATTATTTACTTGATTGTGGTAGATTTCTTGCCGGTAATGAACAATACCGGACATTGAATTTCATGCAACCTCTGAAACGTTTCTATAAAAGTGTCTGGATCGTGCGTGAATGTGTACTAAATTATTTAGAAAGATGTAAGTTATCCAAAAATCTTTGATGATTTCAAAAGACTTTTGTGTAAGCAATTATTGTACATGTTCTTGAATTTTGGGGCATTTAAGAGTAACCTCTCCTGAAGGCAAATCACGTAAACCATATTTCTATAATCAAATCATATCCTCTTTGGTTAATACAGTTCTCACGGTAATATGCAGAAGGTTTTAAAATTTTGGAAAAATCGAGACTTACAATATGAATATTTAGCACTTCGGGGTCCCAACTTTTAAAAATATTGTGTTTGAGAAAATTTTCTTTTGCCGCATCTCTTTGAGGATTAAGTCAAGAGTTAGCATGAGAACGTCAGCTATTTGCTATATTTCCTTGTAAGAACTAGAAAGAGAAAATACCTATTTTGCCAAGTATCTTTTCGTTTTAAGGCAAGTTGAAAGGATGAAGTTGCATACTCTTTATATGGATAGAGTACAGGATCGATCGTCACGAGAGATGAGAAAGTGCCGGGACGAAGTATTTCTGCCATTAATCTGTCAACACAACAGAAATTACGTTATAACACAAAAATAATATTGGTGCATACAAGGACCGAGGAATTACATTGCGCATCCCCCTAAAGAATGCCCGACTCCAATGATGGGTCCTTTGATGTTAAAATAATCTATAACTTGAAGGATGTCTCGGGAAAGATCAGACCAGTTATCTGTTCCATATACAGGACAAATAATTATTGGCAATTGAAATATTTCATCTAACATTTTCATAACGATAAAAAAAAAAGTCAACTTACAAGAATCAGGAAGAATATCTTGATTCGCCACGGCGCTATCGCCTTGATTCGAGCCATCTAAAGCCCACATAGTCCCACCATTCCACCTTTCTCTTTTTTCGTTTAAACCATTTATAACAGGTTCGTAAATTTCTTTATGAAATCCATTGGCAGCGGCAAATATAATAGTTGTTTTATCGCAAGAAGTTTCTTTTTCAAAACCAGGCCCTTCAATGGGATCATAGGAATTTACAGCAATACGAAGTTGACCACCATTCTTGCCATATAACCTCCGAATTGGTGAGGCGGGAATAATATAAGTGGTAATTTTAAGCGCATTCATCCTTTCTTAAAATTTCAAAAAAAAATTTCCAGAAAGCGTCAGTCTTATGAGGTATCGTAATCTCCAATTTAGGAAATCGGAAAAGGATTTAACAATGCTTAATAATGCTAAAACCGTTGATTGGTTAAGGTAGCACGTTGGAGATGTTACGACGATTTGACTGATGCAAGCCTCTAGAAGGACAACGCGATTTCCAAGTTAGGAAATTATTTAGTAATGCTGAATAAATCTTGACTAATACTTCTTACAAAATGATGACGTCTCAATATGCATATGAATGATGGTAACCTTTTTTGGGAGAATACTAAATAAATAATATTCTCCACGCAAAAAGCGAAAGTCTCGTATGAGAGGTCACATGATAATTTGCCCCGCATAATACATAATATTAAATTATATACGCAATGGTTCTGATCATGTGACAAATAGACAGGTTTCGGACTCGGGAAAACGGCCCAAGCAGAAACAAAAACCGATGCCATCCAATCCTTTTAATACAATATACAGAGGATGGACAAAAGTTTATGGACAACTTTTTTTTTTTTAAATAATAAAAATATACTCAATATATAAATGCAACATATTCAATTTATAAAAATATATCATTATATAAAAAAAAAATTTTTTTTTTATTTACTTAAAAATTTCACTTCAATTTTTACATAACCACTAATGCCTGCTAATAAAAATTAACTTCTGAACAAAAAGCAGCCATAATTTATGGTTATAAAAAAAAAATATCTATTGTAATATTATAGCCAATGTCGGATATAAAAAAAGTATAATGGATAATGTTATAAAATGTTTTATTGAAACTGGATTCATGGAATCAGGAATGCAATAATTGGAATGATTGGAATGATCACAAATTCTCAATAAGCATGCTCATACTACTCTCAAAAAACTTGTTATTGGCAAAAAGAGTAGCAGACGTGTTATTACTGCAAAACTAACCAATCTTTTTATAGCCAAAATAGAAATCAAAATATCTGAAAAAATCATCTATCAAATCCTATATAAAAAACAGTTAAGAAGCTATATCACCTATTCCAAGCCCTTCCTTTCAGAAAAAAATATTGAAGATTGACTTATCTAGTGCTTTGTACATAAAGACTGGAACATTTAGGATTTCAAAAAAGTAGTTTGGAGTGACAAGTCTATATTTACTCAATTTCAACAAGGGAGTAAATATTATATTTGATATAATTCATATGAAGAATGAAATGTTAAATGCTTTTATATTACTATTAACCTTAATTCAAGCCATATACATTGGGGATGTTTTTTATGATTTAGTGTTAATTCCCTTGTTTCTCTTTGTACCTTGATTAAAAATAAAATAAAATTAATTTATTAGATAAAAAAAAAATCAGACTTACCTCTTACCTTTTTTTTCTTATAGTGAAGTTATATATTACAATTTTTCAAGATTATTTTCTGTCAGCCCTTTGAAATTTTGATGGAACTAATTGGAATCATAGTAGTTACCCTTGGTTTCAACATGATAATGCAAGATCATATATTGCGAAAATTATAAAAAAGTTTTTTGCAGATAAAAAAATTTAAGTTATGAACTAACCTTTTCGAAGTCCAGATCTTAACCCGATTGAAAATCTCTGACATTATATTAAAGTTTGGGTTCGTGAAATCAAATCTAATAATTTAATCGAGCTCGAGGATTGTGTTTTAAAATATTGGAATAAGATCAATCTGGCATTTTGTAAACAATTGATTAAGAGTATGCCATGTCATATTATGGCTTGTATTGTGACTAAAAAAGGCTACAAATATTAAAAAAAATATAAGTAACTATGTAGATATCTATAAATCAATAGAACATAAATTAATAATAAAAAAATGTGTAATTAGATATTTAAAATTTTTTTTTTTATATATTATAGCTGTTAAATAAGAAATTTAAAAAATTTTTTAAATTTTTTTTTAAATTTTTTTATTTAAAAGTTTAATTTTTAAAGATTTTAAATATATTTTTTATTTATTTAATTTTC